TTCAATAGGGTTGAGTTTTCTAGTGTATTGAGAAGAAAAAAAATACCATAGAAAAATGTCGACTAAGGGTAGTATGATATATGTTGTCATTGACAACCTACTATTGCGCAAGTTCCTTGACTACTAAGTGTTTAGCATCCATGCATGAGGTTTTCCCAAGTTCTTGAAACTACAATGAATCATAACTTCTTTTTTATCATACGAGGGCAAGGATTATATATTTATTAAATGCCAACATAAAAATTAAAAAAACTAAGGAGGATGGAATAAACCTAACATCCAATAAACGAAAAACACAGAACAAATGATTAACGGTTATAAACAACTCTGAAGATAACTAGAACCTACTCTTTCACCAACCATTTTCAGTCTTTCACATCAATGCCAAAGTCTATTATCAAATCAGTCGAAAATTAGGAGAGGTTTTCTCTTTTCCAAGCTAGGGATAGCAACGGAGCGGGAGAGGTTGGGATGGGATGGGAGGGGAGGGGAGGGGGAGGGCAACCTCCCCTGCCAAGCAATTCCCCGCCCCGTTACCCATTTAAGGCAAGGTGGGGCGGGGTCCTTGCTACGTTTACTACCTCATTTAATTTTTTTTTTAAATTTTGATAAATTATTTTATTGTCCACATTCATTAGACCGAGGCAAATAATTTTAGTTGTCATATTCTATTTAGAACTAATGAAATTTTGTGAAAATTTCAATTTAAAGTATTGAATTCTAAAAGAAAAAATTAGGCAGGTCGGGCTACCCGAACCCACCTCAGGGCAAAATTCTCCGTCCCGTTCCCGACCTGAATACCCGATTATGCAGGTAATTCCTACCCCGTTCAAGGCGGGGTCCTGCGAATATCGTGTTTGTTGAATTTTTTTGCGGTCACTATCCCACGCCTTCCTAAACCATACATTATATATAAGCACCATCTAATTAGAATGACAAAAAGGGACCAAAGTCATTCGATTATTTGAAGTAGGTAATAGGTTACATCAAGGGGATAGAAGATTCCGCTCGACAGGACTACCAAAAAGGCACAATATGATGGCAGAAAGAGTTTCAACATCGAAGTACAAGAATATCATAGCATAGATAGAGAAGTAAAACATTTTCTATCACAAACAAACAACACATATGGCTAAGCATAAAAACATACTTATATTTACTTTGGAGTTGCTTTTTGTCTCTAATCCTTTGAATTTTCTTACTTCCTGTTGTTAGGAAATTATTGAGAGCAATTAACTAAGGCCCAAGCCCACACCACCGGCCCAAGTGAGGTTCCATCCCAAAACCAATTGGTAATGGGTGGAGTAGCCCACTTGGGTTATATGGTGGATTTATTTTCTTCCCACAACCGATGTGGGACTTGTTTGCCCCAACAATCCCTCCCTCANCAGCGCGCCCAGACACGCCCTTAATTAACAAAAAAAAATTACATCTTTATTAATAACAAATTAATTATTAAACAAAAATATTAAATATAAACTAAGCAAACGTGCATTGCACGTTGCTTGCACCTAGTTATATATAAGCACCATCTAATTAGAATGACAAGAAGGGACCAAAGTCATTCGATTATTTAAAGTAGGTAATAGGTTACATCAAGGGGATAGAAGATTCCGCTCGATAGGACTACCAAAAAGGCACAATATGATGGCAGAAAGAGTTTCAACATTGAAGTACAAGAATATCATAGCATAGATAGAGAAGTAAAACATTTTCTATCACAAACCAACAACACATATGGCTAAGCATAAAACATACTTATATTTACTTTCAAGTTGCTTTTTGTCTCTAATCCTGTGATTTTCTTACTTCCTGTTTGGCAGGGTTTTTGAAGAGATAAAAGCTACTTCTGAGACTAAGAAGTTGCTATTAAACCTATTCGATAAATTTTGAAAGTGCTTTGTATGGTTAGAAACTTTTTAGAGAAAATTGACCCAACGTGGTTTCCTCAAGAAACTTTTCTACAAAAAGGAAAAATATAAGCACAAGCTATTGCAATGAAGCCCTTTCAAGAGTAAATGAGTTGTGATTTTCACGGGAAGGTAAGAGTTACTTTCTCGCAAACCAAGGATCAAATACACAGATGCCATTTTTCACAATTGAGTTCTATTCCACTGCTTGTAATCAAGAAATCTTTATGCAAATCCTAATCTTGAAATGAATGCTTATACAATGGCAGAAACTT